AGGACGCTTTGTTCGTGAACAGCTCGTGTTCGGCTCGTTAAGCAAACTGGCCGAACACGAACACACTTTTTGAGCTCGAAATATAAACGAGTGCGGCTCGTTTACACCCCTATATGTAAGTCTTATTTATTATCATTTTTTAATACATTTATGATTTATTAGGTCTTCTCGTTGAACCCGGTTCAACCTTTGAACCTTGAAGCCCTCCTACTACCGGTTTAATTTTTGGTCCGGTTTTCAGAACCTTGGATGCAATCTATTTATTAGAACCTACAGATTTAGAATTATGTTTAGGTCTACACGTATTTTGACCGAGCATAGTAAGATTTTGCTATGCAATAAACTCCCATAATACGTGTGCTTTCTTTTGCCCCCACTCCTAGCCATTAATAAACAGAGAAATTTACATGCATACCACAATTTTTATATATTTACACACCCAAAATTTGATATTTACACTTATAATACATTGATGTCTTAAATCTGTGCATAAAAATATATATTTTGCTTTAAAATGATAACAATGGTGGTATTTTTGAGGTGTGTTAAAGATTTGAGTGGCATGCATGTAAATATAAATATTTAGGTATTAGATATGTAAAAACATAATAATTGTGTGATACGCATGTAAATGTTTCTAATAAATATGTTCAAGAGGCACAAAGCCAATAACATGTTCGTATTACTGCCATCAAGAAAAGAGCATCAGGGGAAGTTTGGTTCATTAATCTATATTATATAAGATTTATGAGTGTAACCCTTATAACCCTTTTTTGACTGAAAAAGGTTGAGACCCATTTGTTTCATCAGAACCGAGATTATAAGTGAGCTCACTGTATTACGTTTCGCCGCATTTCATTTCACAGGTCACTCAAAGAACTCTGTTTTGACTCCCCGAAGTATTTATCATCCATTTCTAACAACCATCGTCTCGCAGCAGCACATGCTTTTTGACTTCTGATAAAGTTTTTGTGGAGTCATTTATTTTTGGGTCATTTAGATACAAGCGCACAATTCTTATGTATTTACATATCTCACACCTAAACTTTCATATTTACACAGCACTTAATTAATACAAAAAAAAAAAAAAAAAAAAAAAAAAAGCACTATTACCACTTTTAAAAAGTGAACACATCTTTTCATGCATAGATTTAGATCACCAAAGTGTAATGCATGCAAATATGAAAGTTTGGATATGAGATATGTAAATACATAAGAATTGTGTTACGTATGGAAAATTTTCTTTACTTTTTATCAGTTTTCTCAATAATTGATGCTTTTTGAGTCTTCTTTTGGAGTCCCACTGTTGTAGACAAGCTAGCAAACACGTGCGTTATATCTTCCTAAATATAACCTGAAGATTTTTTTTCTACTATGGTGCAGGCTGTTGCGTGGATAATTCTTGGAATATTTTCGCTCATTAGGTTCCAAGCTGATTATCTACTTGTAATTGGTGTTTGTTTAACTCTCAGTATTGCAAACATTGTTGGATTCACTAAATGCCGCAAGGGTACGTCTTTTTATCTAATCCTATTGCCTCTCTCCTTCATCATCTATCACTGATTAAGATCACGTTTGGAGATGGAATATGGAAGTTGTGGTTGAGGGAACATTTCTCCCATTCATTATGAAAGCTTATTTATGATGATATTCATATAATTCTTACAAGAATATTGACTTCGGATTTCTAAGATTCTTTTGGCAAAGAATTTTTTTGTTTGCATTATTTTTGGTACCCTTAACTGCAACAAAAATACCAATTGCTCAACCTAAGCCAATAAAAGTTAGCAAAAAAAAAAAAAACCAAACATTTGTATCTACTAATGATATTGATTTTCAGTGATATACTGTAAAATTTATTTGCATGCTTACAACCATACGAGTTACTGCCCCCTGAGGGCCAACACATGCATTCTTACGGTTTTGTAATGACAAACTAGTTGGGTTTTTATATCATATACTTGAGTGCATTATCTTATTCTTAGATGTCATATTGAAATTATAAAGGTTGTCACTGCACCTTTGTTGAATTTCAGCATTGTTGCTTCTAGAAATTTTAGAGCAGTTACAGACAAGCGCATTATTTAGATAATATTCCGTAATTATAGGATTTATTTCCCATTTTTTGTTTTTTTAAAGATGTTTCTTCCATTATTATATGATTTGGTTTCCATTTGTTATGCTTCTTGTTGGGTGTTACCGAATTTTCATTTTTGTACTTTCTTAACCTTTCAAGAGGCATTTTGAACCAATTTTATTTTCACTTCTGATGTTCTTTCAAAAGTACTTCTGTTTGATGAAATTTTCACACTTTTTTTTATTATTTATTTTTAAAATATTAATATAAATTTTAAATATTTTTTATTATTTTTAAAAACATGTTAATTATTTTCAACAAGTCAAATATGTTCATTTTAAAACAAAATACAAACAAAACAAGATATAAATAAAGAATAAAAAAAGAAGATTTCAAGTGGCTCTTAGTTATATTAGAAATTATATGTAATACTGAAAAATTCAACATATCTAAGATTTCAAATGGCTCCTTGTTATATTAGAAATTATATGCGATACTGAGAAATTCAAAATATCTAAGAGTACCGTCTATATTTTCCTTGTTATATATTTGTTTCTATTTTCTTAGTTATACAACACTCAAGACTTGTTTGGGATTGCTATTGTTCTTTTTTTTTTTTGCTTTTATTTTAAAATTATGTTTCTTTAGTGTATTTTTTATATGTTTTTATTGTTTTTTTAAACAAGTTAGCTTGTCTTTAAAAAGATTCAAAATACCTAAAAATCATTTTGAGTGTTTTTAAAAATAACTAAACATGTTATGACACATCAAATATATTTTTGTTTCAAAGAAAAACATAAATAAAATAGAATAAAAATAAAAAAATAAAATCTAAAGGGCTCCCAAAGGGTCCCTGAAGTTTTAATTTATTAGCTGAATAAAAGTGAAGTATTTGCTAATTTTCGTGTTTTTAGGTTGAAGGAGCATAAAATTGTATTGAAACGGGGTTTTAGACTTTTGATTTATGTCTTCCTAAGTGGGGCACACTTTCCAAAATTATTGGAGTGAAAGCAGAAGAGACTAAACTTTGTTGTAAGACAGTTAAATGGTTTGAATTTTCACACTTTTTTATGACTTTTTTTCCTAGTAATATGTTTGATTTTGATCCTGATTGCATCGTTATGGGAGGGGTAAAGCTTCAAATCCCAGACATTCAATCCACTTCGAATGGCCGGGATTGATTCAACAAGCTTTTTTTTCCACCTTATTTTCTTTCTTTCAAAATTAGTCAAGAAATGTCAATTATTCATACAGAGTTATTTGTCCTCTCCATATTTCATGTTAACTATAGAGGATTCAAAATCATATTTTCACAATCACACTCTCTTCTGCAATCAAATGGTCCTTCTCGGCAACGCTTTCATTGATCTCTTCATACTTTTGAACCTAACATTGCAGATGCGAAGAAACAGATTCAACAATTTGCTTCTCAGACAATTGCATCAAAGCTCTCATCAACATTGCAGTCTGCCTTCAGCCTGGTGTGAGCTCGAAACTGTAAATTTATTTCTGCCTTGGTTATTTTTATTACCTCCCCAAATTTTGTTCAATTTAGTTGAGCATCTTATGTTTTCTATCACCCATGTGTTTTTATTATTTGAGCTTCGAAATTATAAATGTGGATATAATTTCAGTATTGGAAAACAACAGACTTTTATCATTGGCCTTTTCTCCTTTATTTTCCAAGTAAATTCATTTATTTGTTTTGTTGCAAGTCATTGAAAATGAGATTTGAAATATGAGCTCAGTTAATTTGGTTTGGTGTGAAGTAAATTTTAATGATTAGCAAGTCCTATTCACTTTTAGACTGCTGAAATTTGGCTGGGCCTATGACCCATTATATATAAAATTGTTTTTCACATTTTATAAGATTCAAATCTTTCATATCATTTAAGAAGCCATTATTTTGAACTTTATAATTGTGTATAAAAAATTTGTAATTTTACTAGTGGGCATGTAAATTTAGTGGGATAAAGGATTGCTTGTTTTGGCAATTTAATACATTTTTTCTTCTAAATAAAAATTATTATTTATTTTATTAAATATATTTAAAAATAAATATTTGATTTGAATCATATTAAATTAGTTACCTGTCCATGAATAGAAATAAGATCATCCTGCCTTGCTGATGTGAGAACTTGATGGTAGATTATAAATTCATTTATATAATGAATATTATGATATATATCTTCAGTTTATTTCAAACGAATGTCTCATGCACAAAATACTAACACATTATGCACTTTAAATTCTCATAGATCATCCAAACATATAAAAAAATATTTGGCAAAAATAATGTCATTTTAGCTATATACGATATCCTTTTAAAATTCTTCCTTGATGAGAAGTATACTTTAGTGGATTTTTTTCAAAAGCCAGATGATCAAATACCGATTAAAATAAGAAAAAAACTGTTAATCAAATTCTCCTCAATGATAGTACACATTCCTTTTCAAGCAAAAGCTAAAATAATCTAAAATAAATAATAAATTTTAAATATTAGATATGTAAATGCATAGGTATTGTGTGATGACTGTAAATCTTTATCGTTTGCATGATTTAAAGAAATAAAATTTTGAACTTCTTGGCTAAAATTTTGGGTTGAAAGGGCCAAGCAGTTCTAAAATATATCCTAAAAAAGCGGAGAGTTAAACCCTTAAAAAAATACATCTTTTTGCCACGACATCGAGTTTGGAGGCTTGTTATGACTTTTTTTAATCTAAACCTTAAATCTCTCTCTAAGCTACTTCCTATAAATCAATCTTGGGAGTTGTCATCTTAAACACCAAAGAGAGAATATTTCAGGAGAAAAAAAATTTTAAGCGAAAAGGAAAATAAAAGGGATTAGTTGTTTATTCTTCATAATGGATCACATTACGCTTGAGCTCCAATCATTCAAACTTCATCTTACCATCCCCCCGAATCGACGATTCCGTCTCCCACAAAGAATGACATTAGTCTACCTTCCTAGAATTAATGAAACTCCACTGGCAATTAATGGCGCCAACATCCCTGCTAATAAGGAGGCTATGATAGAACTTTGTCGAATTACCCTAAATAAATATCACTCACAAATCAGAGGTTGTGTTTGCAAGTTCAGATCAAGTTTGTATTGGCAATGAGATTTGCTTTGAGGTTTGGATCAATGGAAAAAAAAACTATACGAGGGATTTTCCGACGAGGTGCAAAATGGGAGTTGGGCTGTGAAGAAGTCAACTTGCCGGAATGGGCAGAGATAAGCGTGGTGACAAAGCAAGGGCTTTCGATGCGAGAGCAGATGAAGCTAAAGAGAAAAAGATTTTATTCTTCGTTGTTGGTAATAAAGAAGGAAGATGAGATGGAGCCAGAAAATAAGAAAAATGAGATGAAAGGATTTGATAGTTCCTATCAAGTGAAGGAAAAGAGGAAGGGAGATGGAGATGGAACAAAGAAAAAATATTAGTTGGGCGTTAAATGTGGGAGTTTGGGTAGCATGCATAGGAGTTGGGCTTTTTGTTTCGAGATCTTGTTTGAAGAGATTTGTAGGCTTGAAGTTATTTTGAGAATATGTGTGTGTGTATTACGTTGAGCTCTCTTCATTTTTTTTCTAGAGATGAATCATTGTTTACATGCCAATATATGTGAATAATTCTAATATTTGTTATATTTTAACTTTTTTTCTTTCTCAAATAGTATCCTAATGTTTTAATGTTTACTTTTCATTTGTACATCGAATTTTATTTAACATGTTTTTATTTCGTTTTTGGTTGACTGAATTAAAAGAAAACAATCCACAATTTTTTTTTCATGGAATTGTAATTTTTGGAAATAGTATAATATAAGAAATATTTTAAAATATACTTACATTTTCTATTTAAACACAATTTACAATGCAATTGATTGCAGATTATGTACAAGAAACTTTTCATCCTACTACTAAAATGATAGAGGCGAAATAAGAAAAACAAAATTGGATTTCATGATTTTAGTTTGACTTTGAAAAATTTGTTTATAGTTTGACTTTCAAAAAAATATGTGATTAAAATGTGCTTGATTTTGACTTTATTATTCTCTTGAATTTTGATTTTCATAAGTAGGTGGGCTTGTTTTAATATTTCTCATTTTTAATTTAAAATTTTGGTTAATTTGAATTTCATGATTTTAGTGTGTTTAATTTGATCAAATTTTAACTTTCATGACTTTTATTTTGATTAGTGACTAATGATTTTAGTAAAATTGGATTCAATATGGAATTTAATTCTATGTTCATTTGATGATTTTGTCTTCAATTTTAATATTTCTCTTTGATTTTTTGGAATTTTTGTTGATCGAAATTTTATTTCTTCTGCAGGTTAGATTTTTTAATTTTTGATTGATTGAAACATATTTTTAGGCATAGATAAGCTGTTTGTTGTTAAATATGTAAAGGCATAGGAATTGACTACTGTGTGTAAAATCACCCCGAAGTTTAATTGCCCACATTGCCTAAATTGACTATAGATCATGAACTTATCCCATGAGCTAAGATTTATTAGATGCATTTTATTTTATATGAAGTATACTCGACATAATCACCCGCCACAAGAATATGATACAAAGCAAACACACCTTCCCCCACCAAAAATACCCATAAAATTAACTTTACTAGTTTGACCAAAAATACCCATAAAATATAAAAATCACAGCATATACATAGATATGCATATTCATATACCACTATAAATACATGAACAAGTTACACAATGAATATGTATATATGTGAATATGACATACAATCTCACATGTGTAAAATATATATTTTCATATATAAACATAATCAAGGAACTATCAACTTACACACAAGGCTTCCATGCTTTTAGCTTGTTAAAGAAATGAATTTATAAAATTTGGTTATGCGACGGGCTAGTTATCGTGCTGGTATAACATAAACAATAAGCTTTCTTAACAGCCTTACAAGAATGAAAAAGTGAAAAATAAATCAGCTTCGATTCAAAGTGGAACTTATTTAAAATGTCAATAGTTGAGAGCAATTATCAGCACCCTCCTTCAGCAGAGGTAACAATAACTTGGCATTTATTTAAAATATCATATCTGCTGAAACTATCATACAGATTTGATAAGTAATGAAATGAGGTAGTTTCATCTCTTAAAAAACACATTTTTTGAATGACCAACCTGAAGTATATTATGTACAACCGTATGCTTAATTGAACCCTGAAGGGCTTTTATGCAAAAACTTCTACGTGGCTGGAGATTTTGGAGCTGGGCCCAGATACTAACCTTCAATCTTGCTGAATCTAAACTAAGTTTCTCTTCAACCTAATCATTTTGGAATCAGCTCAACATCATCGAATTCGTCGAAGTAATCACAGTGATAACACGGCCGTTTGATGAAACCATGAACCGGGATCCACAAATTCCATTCCTTGTAGAAATCAGTCACTAACTTAGATCAAAACCAGCATCCGCATTTATGGCATAGATCAATTTGTTTCTCATTTGCTCTATGCTGTATCAGATAAAAAGAAATTTTATGTGTGGTGCATCTATTTACATTAAAAAAAAAAAAGGCAGAATAAAGCAACTACAACTATGGGAAAGACCTAACATTTCTAAATTAGATGAAGCCAAAGAACTTTAAAAATCCAATGGCAAAATTAGGGAAAATATGAAATCGGCGAAATAGTCCCGTGACTTTTTGCATGGAGTCATTCTAGTCCGTGAGTATATAAAAGTGTTAATTTCCCCATACTCTTTTAAATAGTCCCCAAAAATAATTATTTCAGCCTTAATTTAAAGTTTCTTGAGACCAATTTGACACTTTTATAGAATCTGGGACTAAAATGGCCGCTTGTTAACGGTCAGGGGACTACTTTGACACTTCACTCTTTTGAGAAAGGATGTATGAAATTGGATTAAGATTGCAATGCCTTCTTTTTGGAACTTTCATCTTGGTAAAGGTGGTAACTCTCTATGATATTTTGAAAGCTGATCTCCAGCTATCAAAACTATTTTCCAGGTGGATAAAAGTGTAAAAAAAAAAAGAAAAAAAAGAAAAAAAACATAAGTAAAATTCGACTTTTGAAGAACGAAAGAAGAATGAAATTAAGCCAGTTTCAGTTACCACGTTCATATGCATATAAAGAATTTTTTAACATGACAATTTCTTCAAGAAAATTAATGGCAAAGCAGGCCACTGCGAATTTATAGTTTTAATAACGAAAGGAAATAGTTAATACCGTGCCTTCTGTATGATTAGAAAGCAGTTAAGTTACTGGATAATGTAACAAAACTGGGAATAATTGCTCACCTTTTATATGGAGGGAGCTTCAGCAAATTCATGCAGGTTGCGGTAGTTGGCAAACGATCCAGATCTTCTTCAGCAACAATTGAAGGAGCAGCTCTGTGCGTAAAATACATTCAGTCAAGCAAAAATTCCATTTCAGAAGCAAAAACATATGAATGGCGAAAGAACAAAAAATTAACCTTTGTATGCAGAATTTAGGTTCAAGGTACCTAAATCCAAGGAGTGGTCCTCGAGAACATCCTGTAACAAATCTACAAGAAGTAATAATTATGTCAACCTGTGCATTGAGAATTGGAAATTATAGAGCAATATTAAATTAACAATAAACACAAACTGACTGACACCATGCTAGAGTGCTTAGAAGGTGTTTTAAGGATTCAGGTGTTTGTTAGGGAAGTGTTAGAAAGTTAGTATAAAGGGTTGGGAGAAAAAAAAAGGGGAGTTGCAGAGGGAAACTGCCATTCCAGCTGTTGTCCAACCCAAAATCAGCAGGGAACACAGTATGACAACAATAAAGGCGAGGTACGGCCATCAAGAACTTGTTTCTGAATGAGCTAAAGACACTTGCAAAATGAAGATGGCAATAGTCCTTGGGCCAAAAAATCAGAGTACAATCTCGAAATCACAAAATCACATCAAAGTCTCCAAACAGCCAATAAAATATGAATAGTTGCCCTCAGAATAACACTAATTCTAATTAAAATACTACTAAAAAAGGGGCAACACAAGGGCAGGCGTAATTAAGTAGCAGGAGAATCCCACTACAGAGATTTCACTAGATGGAAATTCCACCCTGTTTGATCCAGAAATCACAGGATGGCGCTCATGCGTTCGCCCAGAATGAGGTTCCGTGTGCTTGGAATGCTCCCACATCATTCTCTCTGAGTGGAAGAGACCTTGACGCAAGCTCTAACAGGGACCAGGCGCTGAATGCGCCCCGAAGCTTCGTGGCGCTTCGGTCCCGAGAACTCGCGAAGCTTCGATGGACAAGGAAGGGGATCGCGAACCCTCGTGATGCAGGGGTTGCTTCGCGTATCTTCCATACCCGACTTCTTCTGGATTCTTCTTACCTAACTACTCCTCTTCCTTTTGTGTAGCAATAGGAGGTTATAAATAGCTATCGCTGTGTGTAGGAAGAAGTTCTAGTAGAGTTATTTTCTGATCTCCTGTGTGGAGTTTCTTTCCACTTTGTGGCTTGTATCCAAGCAAGTGCTGTTACTCCAACTGTATCCTCTCCGAGGTGGCGATCATACCCTCCCTTTTTAACTTCCCCAAACCATCTCCTCTACACTCCTTAGCAGCCGAACTCTCCCTCCGTCACCCCGACACCCAACCATTTCCCCTTCCTGCAAGTTATTACTGTTATCCCGCCTAACCACCACAATATCGCTGCCGACCAACTACAAACCTCCCACTTGCTGTCCATGCAGTTTTGATGACAGGAGGGATCCACAGTGGCTTCACCACAATATATTCTACACCTGCTGCACAGTGAACGAAAAAGTATGCAATCTAACCATGGACAGCGGAAGAAGCAAGAACGTGGCATGGACACAGACAATAGAGATTGGGAATTGCAACTCAAAGGCATTCCCAACCATATTCACTGATGTGGCTGAAGAAAGAGAATCTGATTAGCATCGACCTAAGATGGTTGGTAGAATTTTCAATCGGAGGCCAACTACAAAATCATGTATGGTGTAACGTGGTTCCCATGGATGCCTGCCACCTTCTATTGGGAAGAACTTGACAATTTGACTGGAGGATCAACAAGACTTGGTTGGGAAGAACGTGCCAGTTCTATGTAGAAGCATCCTCAACCTTATTTCTTATCTGGTTGAAAAGAGAAAAAGAGATAAGTGTGGATCAACAGAACTTGGTTGAGTTTTTCATTAAAGATCAACTACAAAAGCAGGTATGGTGTAACATGATAGCCATGGACGCTTGTCATATTTTGTTGAGGGAGGCCGTGGTGGTTTGACTACAAGACCCAACATGATGAGTTCAAGAACATTTATTCGTTCAAGAAGGATGGGAGACATATAGTTCTTTCGCCCATCTGGGACTTGAGTGGAAATATATATCACAGAGAAGATGATAGTCCCACAAGCCATGTTTATGCAATCAGTACGAGAGGCTTCAATTGCAATGGCTTTATTCATGTCAGAGGGAATAAGGAGAAGATTGAGATACCAGAGCCTAGCTGACTTTTAGGACGTGATGACTGACAACCTTCCTGAGGGGTTACCACCACTAAGGGAAATTCAACATGTCATTGGTCTCATCCATGGATTAGTGCTGCCAAATAGGCTTGCCTACAGATTGATGTTTGTAGAGTTGAAAGAATTACATCAATAGGTACAAAATCTCGTTCTGAGAGGCTTAAAGAGAGAGAGAGTACCAACCCATGTGTTGTCCCTACCTTGATGATGCTTAAGAAGCACATATTGTGGAGAATGTGCATTGATAGTCGAGTTACCAACAATATTACTATCAAACACAGGTTCTGGAGACCTTGCTTCAATGACCTCTTGAATCGGTTGCATGAAGCCATTGTCTTTTCAAAGATCAACTTTTGTGGCGGACACCACCTGATTAGGATGAGACCAGAAGGTGAGTGGAGGACCCGAGATGGATTTTATGAGTGGACAACCATGCCTTTAGGGCTGTCCAATGCGCCCAACACGTTCATGAAGTTAATGAAACAAGTGTTCTGGGTTCACATTGAGAAGTTCATAGTGGTATACTACGATGATATTCTAGTGTACAATAGATTCAAGGATGTGCACTTGTAGCACCTGAAGACAGTCTTTAAGATTTTGCAAACCGTGAAACTATATGACCACCAAAAGAAGTATCACTTCCTGATAACACAAGTATACTTTTCGGGCTATATTGTGTCTAATGCAAAAATTTAGATGGATCGTGCAAAGATTGAGACCATCGTGAGTTGGATGCCACCACAATCCTTTACCGGGTTAGACAATTTTTGTGGCTGGCATCACTCTATAGGAGATTCATCAAGACCTTCAACACCATCACGACTTCCCTGATAGAACTCGTGAAAAGGGAGAAGTTCCAGTAGAGTGTGATGCCACCAATGTGTGGATCAATACAGTATTAAGCCAGGGAAGCCACATTGCAACATTCTTCAGCAAGAAGCTGAATGAGTCGAGGAGGAAGTATTCTACGCACGACAAAGAGTTCTATGCAATCGTGAGAGCTATTAGTCACTGGAGTCATTACATACTATTGAGCAAGTTCACTTTGTTTACGAATCATGAGGCCTTGAGGTTCTTGAATAGCCAGAATAAGCTGAAAGGTCAACATGCTTCATGAGTGGAGTTCTTGGAATTGTTTCAGTTTGTGCTTAAGCACAAGGCAGGAAGCCAGAATAGAGCAGGCGCACTAAGCCGCCACAACTTGCTGATCACTTCTATGCAAACTCGAGTTGTAGGATTTGAGAAAATGAAGGAGTTGTATGAGGCAGATGAAAATTTCAGAGAGAATTGGGAGCAGTGTCAAGAGAAACTACCGAGAAATATCACAAGGTCGATGATTATCTGTTCCGCTAGAACAGGTTGTGCATTCTCGATGTTCATTGAGAGAGTCTATCATTAAGGAGAGCCACAGTGGAGGCTTTGCAAGACACTTTGGTAGAGACAAGACTTGCAATCATGCGAGAACATTTTTTTGGTCCCAACTAACGAGAGATGTGGAGTTCCACGTCATGCAATGCATAATTTGAATGTGGTCAAAACCAGAGATTAAAATGAAAGACTATACACTCCATTACCAGTACAAGAGGCCTTGTGGGTGGATGATAGCATGAATTTTGTAGTGGGTTTTCTGAGGACACAGCAAAACAAGGATTCTGTTATGGTTTTGGTGGATAAATTCTTGAAGAAAGCTCATTTCGTATCTTGCCACCGAATGTTGGATGCATCACATGTAGTTGACTTAGACTTCAAGGAGGTGGTAAGGCTACGTGCGATACCCAGGACCATTATTTCCGACATAAATGTCAAGTTTCTAAGCAACTTCTGGAGGAACCTAGGCACTAAGCTTCAATTCAGCTCAGCAGCTCATCCACAGACAGACGGTCAGACGAAAGCGGTGAACAGAAGCCTAGGGAAAAATCTGAAGTGTTTAGTAGGAAAGAATATTAACCTATGGGTACTAATCCTATCCGAGGACGAATTTGTTTACAACAGGTTCGTGAGTCGGATAACGGGGCGAATCCCATTTGAGATTGTGTATGGGCGCAACCCACTCACTCCACTTGACTTGGTACCACTCTTTCGGACATAAGAGATTAGTAAGGATTCTAAGGAGAGCATGAAGGAGATTAAGAAGTTACACGAAGAGATGGTAAAAAATATCACCAAGTAGAACCGCAAGTATCAGACACATACAAATAAAACTAAGAAGAACGTGTCTTTCCAAGATGGGGATATAGTGTAATTCAGGTTAGAGAAAGAGAAGTTTCCAGTGGGATCGTTCGGGAAACTCAAGCAAAGAGCAAATGGACTTTTCAAGCTTCTCAAGAAGTTGAACGACAACACCTATAAGATCGACATACTAGAGAAGTACAATACTTCTGTTGCTTTCAACAAAATGGATTTGACTCAATGATACAAGTAACCAAAAGTTTCAACGAATGAGGTTGAAACTCCTCCAATCATGGGAGACAGACGCGGGACTCACCCATGTCTGAATCGGCTGGGTGGCTGAACAAGTTTGGCAGGAGGGGATCAAGGGGTTGGTCGACCCTTTCCTTTGGGTTAGGGTTGCCACCCAAGGGGAGGGACCACCCCTTAGTTATCTACTATTATATATATATATATATATATATATGTTGTTTTCTCTGATAAGGGCTGTTTTTTTGCTTCAATTTTTTTTGGTGTACGACTTTTCCCTTGCTAGGACTATATCCAAGGATAAGTGTGCTCCAGTTGTATCATGCTCCAAGGTGGTGGTCATTTCCGCATATTTCCTTCGTCGTGCCTCTCCTTGTTGTCGCCGCCCTTTCCTACGCCCTCTCCTATAGCTGCCTCCCCTTCCTACACCCTCGCCCCCTTGCTGCCATCCTCCCCGCACCTTCCTTGTTGTTGCTGCCCCTTTCTGCACCCTCCCTGCTTGCTTCTGCCACTTTCATCAGCACCCCCAGCCTATTATCTCCCTTCATAGGTACCCTCGCCGCTGCCCAGTCGGCTGTTAGGCAGTCGGCTGTTAGGCAGTCGGCTGTTAG